CACGCGATCCAACTCCAACTTGCAGCTAACGCCGCGTTTGGCAAAGCGAAAGGCCGAAAGGGCAAAGGCCGCGGGAAAGGCAAAGGTAAAGGTAAGGTTGTCCGCTCCCATCTCACCTTGGATGAACGCAGAGATAAAATGAAGGCGCTTAAGGCCAAATCCAAGTGTTTGAGATGTGGAGGGATCGGCCATTGGGCCGGGGATCCTGAATGCAAATTCCCCAACCAAAAAGGTGGCAAGCATCAGGGAAAGAACCGCACCAACATCGCAATCGTTGCCCCGCGACAGGACCCCGATGGGGGCCTGCATGTCCCGTCTGGCAACGACGAGGACCTGTGCAACCACATGGTAAACGAGCTTAGGTCTAAGGCCACGCCAGCGCAACCATCTAGCAGCATGCAGATGGAAGGTGGAGACCGTAGGTTTACCCACGGACAGCACAAAGGTCAAACCTATGAGGAGGTTTCTAGGAAGGTAGAGTTTGTGAAGTGGGCGCTTCTGCAGCCAAGCCCCGCTGCTCACCTGAGGGAATTCTTGACCTGGTTTAATAAGTATTATGCTATTGAGGAAGGTCTAGACAACAGTCCCTACCGCGAGACCCGTGCATCGCTAGTTATCCCAGAGGGAACCTATAACCCGCGACCCCGCGGCAAGGGACCAAAGAAGGTACCACCGAATCCGCCCAAGGGTCGGTGTGCCAACTGCACCGAATTTAGCTACGCCGGTAGCTCAGCAAGCTTTGTGCGGAAAACTTGCCGCGATTGTGGCAATGTGTCGCAAGAGCGCCGCGAGCACGTGTACACGGTAGACCCTGCCGTATGCTGTCACGAAGCAACGGACCACAGGAGAAGTTCCAGGATTACGTGTCGAACCTTTTGCCGCATGTGCGGGACCTTTATAGATGAGGTACCCCAAGATTTTCATCGGGAACGCAAGGCCGTTTCAGAGAAGCTGCTTGAAGCGACAGAGCAAGCGGTTCCCATTATCCAAGCCCTTACCGCTGACGATGCGACTGCGGACCTCAACCATGGAACAACTCATGGCAGTGTTCCAGGATCGCGTGACACGGGCGATGGCGCAAGAGGAACGCATACACCCCGCAGCTTTACACGAGTGGTTGCGCGAAGCCGTTGCATCTGTAGTGGAGCAAAGTCCCACAAGCCCTGCCTGGGGATTCGTCCCAACTGCAATGGTGGCCCGAGGGCGCAGCCCGGGCAAGCACAAAGGTAAGGGAAAAGGCAAAGCCAAAGCGAAAGGGAGGCCGCAGGCTCACGAGCAGCAGCCCGAAACTACCGCAGGGCCGGAGTTTTACCGCATATCGGACCCTCTTGGGACCGATACCTTCGTGGGAAGCCAATGCCCCGAACTAGGCGCCGACTATCGCGAAGCTATTCTCCTGGAAAGCTTTCGCGCAGACAGCGAGCTCCACGACCCGTTTCCGGGCGATTCCTCGGACGATGGTGCCCCTGGAAGTTACAACGTCGAGGAATTGGATGATGCCCTCGAGCGGCAAGCTGCCGAGGACGCACAGAGAGAACTTGACGAAGCTTCTGAACGAGCTCGTCAGCAAATCGCTGCCGACGAGGAACCGGACTCTATCACGGTCCTCGACTCTGCCACTGCCCCCCCCAACAAGCTTCGAGTTCGCCACGTGGCTGGCAGAGAGCTCCAGCGCTTGGAGTATCAAGCACGCAATCCAATCCACGTCCCGGCCGTGCCACATTGGCGCGGACCGACAGAGCAAGACCGCGATGAGGAGAACCGTGCTCAAGCAGACGCCTGGCAACGCCGGCGTGATGCTATCCTAGCGGAAGCATATGCAAAACTAGCTGAGAGGAACCCTTCCAAATCCTCTGGGGCGGGGAATCCTTCGGGATCCTCGTGTTCAGCACAGCCGCAAAATACCCCTACAGACCCTAATCTCTAATGTAAGGGAGTGAACAGTGACTCAAGGGTTGCAGCAGCACAGTCTTTGGAGCTTCGGTCCACAGACGTGGCACAGGCGGACACGCAGGCTCCTGAGAAGCCACTGCCCGTGAAACGCCGGTGGACTAGACCCGTCCTGGGAGACCAGCGAAGCAGGTACGGGTTGCCGAAGCGCCTGCTCAGGACCCGACCGCGGCAAGCTCATCATCTGGAGCCGCTCCGGAGAGGAGCGTGGGTCTGGGTAAGGGGGCTATTAGTCCAAGTCTAGAGCCTGAGGCCTCGACCCCTGGAACCCACAGGCCCACGGTAGCCCCAGCACCAAAACCAGAACCCAAGGCCAAGCCTAAGGGGAATAACGCTAGGGCAAAGCGCCCTCGGCCTGATTAAGGACATGCGTTCGTGCGCCTGCTCTATCTGCAACGATGGTGGCTCCATGTCACATGTGCCCCTAGCCCGGTGCAGCGAAACGGGTTTGCTACTACTTTGCTTAAGTACTTTTCCAGAGTGTGTGCAGCACCTCACGTCCTCTAAGGCTAGGCCTAGGTGTAGGCCCCTATAGATCCCGAGGTGTAGGACCCCAGCAGACTCGTGCGAGTTCTGGACCCAGGTGCCCTAACGGGACCTGGCAAGGAACCCGGGGAAGGTACGGGAGACCGACCTTCGCCGGTAGCCATGGTCCGCCGGGCACCAGTGGTTGGCGGGTGCGTGTGCAGCACCACGTCTGTCCACTTCAGCAAGCCGGCGAACGAAAGGCCCAACGTCATCATTTTCACAGGCGGCGCTCGGTATCAATTCAATAATCGCGGATGCGATAGTGATACATCGCAAGGAAGGATGGGTAGACTCCTTGCCGCCCAGCATTCGACACGATAATGTGCGATTGCATGACTTGCGGGAGCTGAACGACCCCCATTAAGGGCGCTCGGGGCTTGCACTGGCGTCACACAGGAATCCTGAGAAAATCCTGAACTCGCGCTCTGGACGTCACCTCTTGACTCTCTGCTTCGTGGACATCGAGAAGGCCGTCGAGGGGCACAAGCCGACGATCATCCTGCCTTTCTGCACGTCGAACCGCCACCGCAGCGCTTATCAGTGCGGGGCCTCTGCGTTCTTGGGATGGACCATTTTCTTGGCCATCTCCATGCCAACGAGAGCTGGGCTGACATGAAGTGCGGCTGCAAGTGCGCAAGATGCCGCGGGCACTTCGATGATGCCGAAGCCACTGCGTTTGGCAACCGGGCAGCTCGCCTCCCACA